TACATATATATTATCTTATAATATTAACAAATTAATTTTATTAACTATATAAAAGAAATGCATAGCATAGATAAATATAGTTTTATTAAGTATACTGCATATATAAACGATTTATTGAAACTAAAGCGTTACGGGAAGGATGGGAGAGAGAAGGAATTTTTAATGCAAAAATTGCTGGGTAAGACGCGATGATATAGATGTTCTGAACAAAAAATATAAATTTGTAATTTCGAAACGGCTTGAATCTGACCAGATTTTTTTAAATGTCGAACAGAAATGATCTACAACAATAAGCTGCTTATAGCTACAAGAATTTTTCGATGAGTTCTACAAAATTTCGTATTCCATTCCATTGTAATATATAGAAAAGCTCTTCGATTAGCTAGAATTGTTTCAAATTCCATTGGCAGCAAAAAATACACGTTAAATTCAATCTTTTTACAGCAAGTCTAATTATATTAAATGTTCATGTTGTGATTATATTAAAATCGCTTAAAACGCACTTACTTTTTATTGTTTTTGTAAAAATTATTGCTTTTTTATCAGTAACAATAAAATAATATTTTAAAAATGTAGCGTATTAAATGTTATATGCGTGGAAGTTAATACTTATTATTAGAACATTGAAAATATTTGTGCATATTTATTCATGTGAGTTAACTCATATCTATACTATTATTCATATCATGTATCACGTCTATTCACATATCATGTATATTGTAAACGTAAAAATTTATCAAAAGCAAGAAATTATATCTATTATTTCACTATGAATCGATATTATACGAATAAATATTATTCGGCAAGTTGGCGCGAAACAGTTTGCAAAAATGTGGTAAGATTTTCATCAGGTTCCAAGTGCAAAAGCCGGCAAGTGTGATCCCATAAATCCTTGGCTATTCGATCATCTCTCGCTCTCCATTGCGGTCTGGTCACGCGACATTCTCTATTAAAAATAAAATATGATAGTAACAATATATATAAATTTGTTAAAAATAGATTTTAGAAAAGAAAAAAAAATCAGAAAAAAGAAATTTATTGTTTGTGTATTGTTATAATGAATAAAATAAGGTTTTATGTCGTATAATTTGCTCTTACACATAATAAAGACCGGTCTCATTAGCCACTTTTTCATCAACCGCACAATGTATCGTTGTTTGCGCTCCTTGTATCGGATTTTTGATGAATGGCCGCATAATATTCCGGTAGAAAAACTTCGCGCCAGGAATTATCGTTTTACTATAGTGTCGGCTTAATTCGGTTCTTATTACGCCGGGATGCAAGGAGTACACGTTTATCCCGCTAATTCCCGCTTCTGTAAATTAAATTTATATTTCCAAAAAGAACTATATGCAATTTTTCTATAAGAAAAATATGTCATTTTGGCACAATATTATATATAAAATAACTTTATCATATCAAAAAGTATTAATTTTTGAATGATTTGTTATTTAAATGTAAATAATCGCAAATTTGTTTTCTTTTACATTATGTGTATATTTGTCTTTCATTCTTTTACCTTTTAGTCGACGCGCAAGTTCCTTAGTGAACAGTATATTCGCCAGTTTGGTTTGTGCATATGCTTTCATAGGACTATACGATCTGTCCAGATTTATATCATCAAAATGTATATTACCAACTGCAATGATAATAATAGATATTGCTAACAGATAATAACGGATATTACTTAAATAATACATAATTATTATCTGATTATATATATTAATTTAGATTATATATATTATATATATTTAGATTATATATATTAATATGTATTAGCCAAAAAAATTTGTTCCCGAAAACAAAAGATAAAAAATATAAGAAAAAAATATTAGATTTTAAAAATATAATCTCTATTCTTTTATTTTTTATACATTGTTTCTCTGTTTTCTTCATACGTACGGAGGTGACAAATCGATGACACGTTAATTATTCTGCAGCCAGGAGCGGATGATTGTATTTTTGGTAGCAGTAATAGTGTCAGAAGAAAATGTCCGATATGATTCGATTGTAGCTGTAGCTCGAATCCATCCTTGGTTTTTTCATGCGGACACATCATTATACCGGCGTTATTTACTAATATATGAATAACTGATTCATCTGTTAATATCTTCTTAGCGCACTCTCTTACACTTTTTAAGTTACTGAGATCCAATGGATAGATCACGAAGTCGCCTAGCTTACCATTGAACTGTTTGCTATCTGTACTGAATGTTAATAAAAACTTATTATGTAATTAATTATAAATATGGCGTTTAAAATAATTATAAACTACATTTTTTTTATTTCTTTATAAAAGAATTTCCAAAAAACAGATGTCTTGTCTACATATATGCTTACAGTTAAATATCAGAAAGTTTTCTAAGAATTTTTTTTTGTGCTATATAAACTATTTGATTTATGATATAAAACAAGAGTAATATAAAACTGTGAATATTTATAAAATCAATTATTATTTTAGAATGTAGAAGATAGCTCATCTAGAAAAATTTATTCGATATATAATAATAACGTAATGTTACAACAAATATTTGAAATAAATTTGTTTAACGTTTGTACCATACTTTTTTACTATGATGCGTAATAAACAATTAAGTTGTTTATAAAACAATGAATAATTAGTCTGAAAGTCTGAGGAGCTGCGGGAAAACTCTCAAATAAATATAAAGAAATATGGTTAATATTATTGTATATAAATGGCAGAGAATCTATAATTATTCACACATTCAAACATACATACAGAAAGTAATGGCACTAACTTTGGATCACTAACAGAATAAAAATAAATATTTTTGTTCAGAAGAATATTCAAATACACGACAAGATATTTAAAAAATATAGTGACTTGTAAAAAATATTTTTTAAACGATTTTGTTCGATTTCATTATGATTTTATATTTCTTATTTTTTCTTAAATGAAATAATCTGAATAATTCACGATGCGATCGCGGGGGTACTAGTTAGTTCTCAAAATGCTTTATCGTTTCTTAAAGGTGTTACTGCATCTAGTGTGAGGACAGTAGAAATAATTTACGTTTGTACATATTGCAATGTAAATAACAAAATTACAAAATTTCTAGTTTCGAGATATAATTGCAGATATCACATAAATAAAGTCGGTATTTTTTTGATACATCCAAAATTATTTATAAACAAATAATGATAATTATGAAATTAACAAATAAAAAAGTAAAATAAAAAAAGGAAGCGGACATTTTGATAATCATAAGTATTGCAAAATATTTGTATATAAAAGAGATTTTAAAGAAATATTAGATTTAAACTACTACTTATTTGGATATATTACTCTTAAAATTTAATTTTAAAATTGTTTAATTTAATTTTCTATACATTTTAAATAATGTGTACACCACAGTAACATTTCGCGGTTAAAACATTGTCGTAACATAAAAAATAAACAACCGCAAATAAACGTGCAAACACACATACACACACGCACACACGCACATACACACTCACGCACACACACACGCACACACGCATACCCGCATACATACAAAATTTAGCATAAAATTATTTTTTTTAATTAAATTTGATATGATATACTTTATATACTATCTATATGGCTTAAAATCCTTGAATTTATAATGTTTATATTACATTTTCAATGCATTTCTAAAGAACATTATTTGAATTTACATCTAATATTTGATTATTTATGTAGATAAATCAATGTAGATAAAATATACGTCGTTATACATGGTAGTAAAGAGAAAACAAATAACAGAATTGTTAAGACAAAGAATGTGGTTATATGACTTATGATTTCATCATAAATGATTGAAATTAATTATTGATATACATCAATATCAATCTTGTAGCAAAAAAATGCACAGATGTTAGATTATTGATTTGCCACGTGTTTAAATAAATATTTTTGTTCAGAAGAATATTCAAATACACGACAAGATATTTAAAAAATATAGTGACTTGTAAAAAATATTTTTTAAACGATTTTGTTCGATTTCATTATGATTTTATATTTCTTATTTTTTCTTAAATGAAATAATCTGAATAATTCACGATGCGATCGCGGGGGTACTAGTTAGTTCTCAAAATGCTTTATCGTTTCTTAAAGGTGTTACTGCATCTAGTGTGAGGACAGTAGAAATAATTTACGTTTGTACATATTGCAATGTAAATAACAAAATTACAAAATTTCTAGTTCCGAGATATAATTGCAAATATCACATAAATAAAGTCGGTATCTTTTTGATACATCCAAAATTATTTATAAACAAATAATGATAATTATGAAATTAACAAATAAAAAAGTAAAATAAAAAAAGGAAGCGGACATTTTGATAATCATAAGTATTGCAAAATATTTGTATATAAAAGAGATTTTAAAGAAATATTAGATTTAAACTACTACTTATTTGGATATATTACTCTTAAAATTTAATTTTAAAATTGTTTAATTTAATTTTCTATACATTTTAAATAATGTGTACACCACAGTAACATTTCGCGGTTAAAACATTGTCGTAACATAAAAAATAAATAACCGCAAATAAACGTGCAAACACACATACACACACGCACACACGCACATACACACTCACGCACACACACACGCACACACGCATACCCGCATACATACAAAATTTAGCATAAAATTATTTTTTTTAATTAAATTTGATATGATATACTTTATATACTATCTATATGGCTTAAAATCCTTGAATTTATAATGTTTATATTACATTTTCAATGCATTTCTAAAGAACATTATTTGAATTTACATCTAATATTTGATTATTTATGTAGATAAATCAATGTAGATAAAATATACATCGTTATACATGGTAGTAAAGAGAAAACAAATAACAGAATTGTTAAGACAAAGAATGTGGTTATATGACTTATGATTTCATCATAAATGATTGAAATTAATTATTGATATACATCAATATCAATCTTGTAGCAAAAAAATGCACAGATGTTAGATTATTGATTTGCCACGTGTTTAAAAAAAAATCCAGATATGTATGGAACAAGACATGTGTGTGTGCATATCGTATCGCTCCAATATCTGGTATTTAAATGTGCGTCAGAACAATTACGTCTTATGTCTTGACTTGAAATTATATGCTTTGCCTTGTAATTATTAATATGTATGTATGTACATACATATGCGCATATATATCAATTATTTATCCATTATTAATCTTTACAGCTCACTATTAGCTACAGTTTATTGCTTAGATTTATTTATTTATTTAAAATAGATTTTGTTTGTCAGCTTATTATATATTAATACTGCATGAAATAAAAATCATTATAAATTAAAATAAAACTAACTCTTTTACAAGTATTATTCTAAAGAGAAAATGTGAAACGCAAAATTGAAAAATATTTGTGTATGTGCAAAATATTTAAAAAAATTAAGTTTAGTTTATATATTTTTATATCGTTAAATAAAATAATCTATATATTTCTATTGTGCATTCCACATTTCCTATTTCGAGACTTGCAAATATTTTATTTAAAAATATACGATTTCCACCATGACAGCTGCATACGATGCGACATTAGTACACATTTAAAATTGTTAGAATTTTATTTTTATCTCTTAAATCAAATCATTTATAACAATTAAAATAGTTAGAAGAGCTACTGACTGTTTGCTTAAACTTTGAAACATACAAATTCATAATTTATAATTTCGAATTTTTATATTTTCTTTTTTTTTAGAATAGATTTGCATCAAACGATAACTGTAAACTTAAATACAGCTTCATATACTTACCCCAAATATGGATCATTCTTTATTTCTTCCACTGCATTCTTTGCTTTTTCCACATTGCGACAAGCCAAAATCACTTTTGCGCCTAAAAATGCAATCACACACACACAATATTTATATATAATTATATTACATATATATACTTATATTCTGTATTATTAATGCTTTATTAAAATACCATAATAAATAATTATATCTCCACAAATGATCTATAATAAAGATATCACGCACAGATAAATAAAATTTGTAAAATTATTTTATTCTATTTTTAAATACTAAAGTTTTTTCCGGATTTCAAACATGTTTATTTACGAAACCATTGACAGTTTTGCTAAAAAAAAAATCGATTCCAAATTGGCCAAAAAATCTATCCTTAAAAAGATATCTAAATTTCATGACAGTTCTGTATATATACGTATACCATACTGTCAGAATATTTAGAGAAATAAAGTAAAACAATATAAAATTAAAAAAAAAGCATTAAAGTAATCTTTAAATATTAAAAAATATATATTATATAAATATTATATACAAAAAGTGATATTAAAAAATATATAATTTGTACAAATTATAATATATTTTATATATTGTAATATTAATATATAAACTATATAAAATTGTGAATTAATATATATATTTTATTGTTTTATATATGTAAATAATTTATTTGACAAAAATTTATAGTACTATGGAAGTAACACACCCAGCAGTAAAACATGATTTTTCTCGAGGATTTTAAATATCGTATAAAATAACTTGATTTTACATATTTTATTCATTTTCTATGCGAAAAATCGTTGTTTTTTTTTACAATATAATTGTATCACATGAATTACTACGTACTTTGTATAACGTAGAAATTAAAAATCGATATTTACCTCTTTTGTAAAAATCTTTGGCAGTCTCTTTACCAATTCCGGTATTCGCACCCGTTATTATCGTAACTTTACCATCAAGACGCGCCTTACTGGTGCACATTCTATGATAGGTCCACATCTGGAATTTTTTTTTTCACTGTTTCACTATTTTGCGAGTAAAATATTCTTCTTATCTCGTCGAGCTAAGCGTTGCACTGAACACAGCAAGAATATGACAATGCTCATTGACAGAAAAGATACTTCAATAACGGGAGTAAAACTGCATGGAAGAAGAGGGAGAAGTGTGGTTGCTATAATGTAGTGCGCACTCTAGAAGTATGTTACGATGATCGCTTTATTCTGATGAGAATTTTAACGCGAACCTCAATTTTAATGTTTTGTCCCCCTACGACTATATTATAATGGATTATAAAACTGAAAAAAAGTAACTTTTTATACTTGTTATGTCATCATATATTAATATGAATTAGTTTTTTATTTGTCACGATGCCCATTTAAAAGAGAAGGTTATTTCTTTTCGATTGACGTCAGTTATGTCGATGTTGCTGTATATCATGCTTTAATATAAATTAGTTTTTTAAATGTCACAATTTATATTTGATAAAAAAGTTCTTTTTTCGATTGTAATATGTTATTAGTCTTCAGTCATTGTTGCGTGTCATGCATATAAATATCAATATAAATTAGTTTTTAAATATTGCGACTTATATTTGATAGAAAAATTTATAAAATTAAACTTTTTTTGTCGATTTATAAATTAATAAATAATTGTAAATTTTAAGCAAATGTAGTATCTGTATTGAAATATTAATAATAATATTGGAGCATATATTAAGTGCTCATTAAATATTAAAAATGTAAGATATGTGTAGAATTAAACATATATGTATTATTAAAAGACAATTAAAACAAAGGCTTTTAACATATTTTAACAAATTATGCCTTTGAATATCTTTAAAATTATAATAAATTGATATGTAGCATAAATACTAGTTTACGTGTCGCATAATATGAGAAAAGAAAAATCATATTTTGCGAGAATATATAGCTTAAAATTCCAATTATTCAGGTTCACATTTATGCGTGCAATATATATTTAAATATATATATATTTTTTACAGTATTTTTGCAATAATTACTTTAAACTTTTAATTTTTATGTCATTTTTGGTATCTTATTTCATATTTATATATTACTTCGACAACATTTTTAAAAATTATATAATTTATATCATTATTCAATCATATACTATTCAATTCATATATAATTCTATCATATATTATGCAGTTATACAATATTATTCATCAGCAATTTGACAGGAAACGTTTTTCAAAAATGTGGCAAGATCTTTGTCCGGTTTTAAATGCAGAAGCCGACAAGTTTGGTTCCATAAGTCTTTAGCAATTTGATCATTTTGAATTCGCCAATGTGGAGTCGCAACTCTGCATTCCCTGCGAAAGAAAGATATTGTTCAAAATATATATATTTTATTTGTGTGTGTATGTGTGTGTAGATGGAATAGAAAAAATTACATATAATTATCGCTAAAAAAGTTGTTATGTATAATATAAACACAAATCTAGAGAAATATGTAAGTAAGAACGGATATTTTAAAGAGACATCATTTATAAAAATGTGAAAAATATTACACAACTAAAATTTGTATAATAGAAATACAAAGAACATACTACATATGCATGATATGACTCTTTCAGTAAAATAATGTCATATGCCATATTCTAAAGATTGTTTAATTTACTTTTTATTATACTTATTGGGATTATTTTTTATAAGAAATAATTTTTATATAATATAATTTTTTTCCTTACTGGTAATAGAGACCAGTTTCGTTAGCTGCTTTTTCATCCACCGAACAATATATCGTCGTTTGTGCACCTTCTTCAGGATTCTTTAAAACTGGTCGCAAGATCGCTCGAATAATAGTGTTTGCACCTGGGAATATTGTTCTACTAAAATGCCGACCTAGGTCTGTTTTTATAGCGCCAGGATGCAAGGAATATACATTTATTCCGTTAATGTTTGCTTCTGAAATAATTTTGATTTATTAATTAGTTCTACACAATATAATCTTTGTCTAAAAAATTTTTTGGATCTTTTTATAACTCAACATTGTAACAGAGAAAGAAAGAGAGGAAGAAAGAGAAAAATCGTTTTATCACATCGTACAACATTATTAGAAACAATTGGCTTATGAAATAAATTAATATCTCTAAGCTAATTTTTTATGATTTGTTATTGTAATTTTTATTATATATTATATATTATATTTCATTATATAAAATGCAATAAAACGTATAATTTCAGTTTTTTATCTAATAATAAATAATTTTATTTTTATTATTCACCTTTTAACCGACGAGCGAGTTCCTTGGTAAACAATATGTTTGCCAGTTTACTTTGCATATAGGCCTTAAGAGGAGTGTATGATTCCTTCAAATTTAAGTCATCATGTATAGCACCAACTGCAATATATTAATAACCATAGTATATTAGCTATCTTCTTTTATTATTAAAGAAATTGGCCTATAATAACATTATAATCTTTACGTTAAAATCTTACATAAAATTACTGCTCATCAGCGCAATCTCTGCATTATCAAATTTATATTTGCATAACTTATATATAACGTAAGTTACACACATAATTTATTAAATTTACGTACAAATATGAATACGCGATGATATATTCAATATTCTACAGATAGGATCAGAAGATTGCATTTTTGGCAACAGCAAAAGCGTCAGAAGAAAGTGGCCGATGTAGTTTGTTTGTAGTTGTAAGTCAAATCCATCTTCCGTTGTTTCTTGCGGGCACATCATCACGCCGGCATTATTTATTAGCAGATGAATAGCCGATTCCTTCATTAACAAGGTTTTTGCACATTCTTTCACGCTCTTTAGGCTAGAGAGATCCAATCGATAAATTACGAGCTCACCTGGATTACCTTGAAATTGTTCCCTGTCCGCTCTAAAAATTATTGCATTATCTCGTAATGTTTATCATAACTATTTTTTTTTGTAACTGTTAATTGTTAATTATATTAACTGCTAGTTTTAAATATATATAACATTATATTAGCTTATTTATTAGCAAGTTATAAATAATTATGAAAATATTAGTTAATCTAAAAAAATGCTAGTAAATCAATGTTTTAAAAACAATGCGATATTATGTTTATTAAATTATATTGTTTTTATTTATTTTTACCTTGTAATAGAAATACAAAGAACATACTACATATGCATGATATGACTCTTTCAGTAAAATAATGTCATATGCCATATTCTAAAGATTGTTTAATTTACTTTTTATTATACTTATTGGGATTATTTTTTATAAGAAATAATTTTTATATAATATAATTTTTTTCCTTACTGGTAATAGAGACCAGTTTCGTTAGCTGCTTTTTCATCCACCGAACAATATATCGTCGTTTGTGCACCTTCTTCAGGATTCTTTAAAACTGGTCGCAAGATCGCTCGAATAATAGTGTTTGCACCTGGGAATATTGTTCTACTAAAATGCCGACCTAGGTCTGTTTTTATAGCGCCAGGATGCAAGGAATATACATTTATTCCGTTAATGTTTGCTTCTGAAATAATTTTGATTTATTAATTAGTTCTACACAATATAATCTTTGTCTAAAAAATTTTTTGGATCTTTTTATAACTCAACATTGTAACAGAGAAAGAAAGAGAGGAAGAAAGAGAAAAATCGTTTTATCACATCGTACAACATTATTAGAAACAATTGGCTTATGAAATAAATTAATATCTCTAAGCTAATTTTTTATGATTTGTTATTGTAATTTTTATTATATATTATATATTATATTTCATTATATAAAATGCAATAAAACGTATAATTTCAGTTTTTTATCTAATAATAAATAATTTTATTTTTATTATTCACCTTTTAACCGACGAGCGAGTTCCTTGGTAAACAATATGTTTGCCAGTTTACTTTGCATATAGGCCTTAAGAGGAGTGTATGATTCCTTCAAATTTAAGTCATCATGTATAGCACCAACTGCAATATATTAATAACCATAGTATATTAGCTATCTTCTTTTATTATTAAAGAAATTGGCCTATAATAACATTATAATCTTTACGTTAAAATCTTACATAAAATTACTGCTCATCAGCGCAATCTCTGCATTATCAAATTTATATTTGCATAACTTATATATAACGTAAGTTACACACATAATTTATTAAATTTACGTACAAATATGAATACGCGATGATATATTCAATATTCTACAGATAGGATCAGAAGATTGCATTTTTGGCAGCAGCAAAAGCGTCAGAAGAAAGTGGCCGATGTAGTTTGTTTGTAGTTGTAAGTCAAATCCATCTTCCGTTGTTTCTTGCGGGCACATCATCACGCCGGCATTATTTATTAGCAGATGAATAGCCGATTCCTTCATTAACAAGGTTTTTGCACATTCTTTCACGCTCTTTAGGCTAGAGAGATCCAATCGATAAATTACGAGCTCACCTGGATTACCTTGAAATTGTTCCCTGTCCGCTCTAAAAATTATTGCATTATCTCGTAATGTTTATCATAACTATTTTTTTTTGTAACTGTTAATTGTTAATTATATTAACTGCTAGTTTTAAATATATATAACATTATATTAGCTTATTTATTAGCAAGTTATAAATAATTATGAAAATATTAGTTAATCTAAAAAAATGCTAGTAAATCAATGTTTTAAAAACAATGCGATATTATGTTTATTAAATTATATTATGTTTTTATTTATTTTACCTTGAAGGTGGATTTTTTTTTAAATCTTCAAGTGCATCCTTTGCTTTTTGTAAATTTCGACAGGCTAAAATTACCCTTGCTCCTATATATATATATAAAGAAATATGTCATATTTATATAGGCTAAAATAATTAATAAAGGCTAAATTTTCTATCCTTTTTAATATTTTTCAAATGTCATATTTGTTCTTTCTTTATTAACTTATATACAATGACGTATACTTTATTATCTATATTAATAAGTAAACAGATGTAAGATGTAAATTAAAATAAAATTCTTTAAAAATTCATTAAAGACGTGATATAAAAATTATATTTTCAAGACTTTTTAAACCGCATAAACAATGTAAAATATGTAATATTAAATCTGATTGAAAGAAAGATAATTCTATTAATGCTATATATGTGTATGGATGCTCGCGGTTGTTTATTGTTATGACAATGTTTTGACGGCACAACACGTGCATTGTTGTGTGCGGTATACACGTTATTTAAAAGATAAAATAAGAAAGCATTTTAAAATTTGTTTCTTGACTAATATATGTGTTTGGAGTTTAATTGTGTATTATTCACATTATTTCATTTATATATATGTAAAAGTATAAAATATAAATAATTAAAATATAAATAATTCAACTATATAAAGTCTATAATGTATTCTTTACAATTGATTATACTCATAAATATTTTGTCACACACGTTTGTTAGCTGAATAATAATAATTATAATTTTTATTCTACTAATAATTTAGAGAGAAAAAAAACTACGTGCTCCTACTTTAAATAAATGTATAAATATTATTTTTTTACTT